TCATTTACAATCTTACCAAAGGAGGTAGCCAGCACAACCATGTGTGTTCACTTCTCATCACTGGAGCCCCTTCGTCTCCCATCCAAGGTAACTATGGCCATTTCTCCAAGGCTCATAGGGAACACACAGCTAAAGCCACAGCCCGCATTTCCCATTTGCTCAGAAGCTGCGCATCATTAACTTAGACTTGTCTCCCTCGCTGCTTCCCTGCCCCTCCTTTTACAGTTACTTACATTGGAAACCAGCCCCAGCTTTAATGCACCTCAGATGAGTTATGGGACCGGCCGTTAGGATGATGACAGAAGCATGAATTTCCTCATTAAAGCCCAAGAGCACAGGCAATCCAAACAAGGCCCGTGGCCCGGCCCGGTGTGCTGAGGACAGCCACTCATCAGGCCTGTTTGGCTTGGCAGGAGGCACTGCTCGCGGCAAGCCGGAACCAGGCCTGCCGTGGGCTGACAGCTCTGATTTAAGCTATTAGGAAGGCTGAGGATTAAATATTTGTCCAGGTCACTGTAAACCGGGTGGAATTATAAACAGTTCAGAGCGGTAAGTGATGCAGGAAACAGTCTCCGGATACAAATTTAGGATTTTCCACCATTGCCCAGGTGGCAGGGTGTGGGGAGTCAAGCTGTGGTAGAGCTGGCTGCCTGGGGGTTCGGCGGCCACTCCCCAGTCAACGGTTCCTGGAAGACAGGGGATCATTTCCACGCAAAAGGATGGGCTCTGCCCCAGGGAGCACTAGCCTGGGTTCTGGGATGGCGTGTGGACAGCCCTGCCCAGAGGCCAGAGCAGGGGACCCCCAGGATCCCTTGCAGCTTCAAATCCTGTGACACAGCACAGGCAGTGGAGGTTTTGCATGGAGCTCCATCCAATAAGCACCCCAGGTTTGTGGCTGACAACACATTTGCCTTGCACTACGATTTCCAAATGCATGAAGACGCTTTTGTGACTAAAACACAAATTCACTTAAAAGAAGTTACTAAATGTATCCTTTCTGGCATGTACATTTTCTATCAATGGCTATTAAAAGTTTATTTATTATTTTATTGAAATAAATTTTTGAAGTTAAAAGGAATCCTTACTAAGTTGAGAACTACTAGAATGGGGAATTGGAAAGATGATCTTGGCAGAAAGGGGCTCCCCCGAGGGTGTTGTCAAGGAGGCTGAGTTTTGGCCAACCCTGACCTCTCTGAGGCCAAGTGTCACTTGTCTGTACTCTCTCTTCCCTTTACACAAAGCACCCCACCACATGGCACAAGGCCTCTCCTGGGACAGGGCAGTCAAGGATCCTAAACTTGGACCCTTAAACCTGCTTAGTATCTAAAGTAGCATCTGAAGTAGAAGTTAAGACACGTCTGCCCCAGGGAGGCAGCACCTTCCAGTCCAAGCTCCCACTTCAACTTAGAACACTTACAACATGGGAACCAACCATGAATAGAGGAGTGGACTTCCAATCCCACCCAATTCCAGCGAGTGGAGAAGGGCTAGAGGCTGAATCAATCACCAACGGCCAACGAATTAATCAATTATGTCTGTGTAACAAAGCCTCCATAAAAATCCACGAAGGATGGGGTCCAGAGAACTTCCAGAATGGGGAACCAGATGGCTCCCAAATGCCACCAGGCCAGAAGGCGCTGTGAGAGCCTCTGATTTATAGCTGGTCAGGTGACAATCTGCACTTGCAACTGGTGCCTGAAGGTGTTGGGGGTGGGGGCAGTCTTGCAGAACTGAGCCCTTAACCTGTGGGATCTGATGCTGTCTCCATGGAGTGTCAATAAGTTGAACTGTAAGACACCCTACTGGTGTCTGAAGTGCTTGCTGGTGGGATGGGAACTGTGCCCCTCTCCACGATGCAACTGGGTACAGAACCCAAAAGAATAGCATTTGCTGACCTGCCCAACAGGGCTGCTCATGACCACAGAGATGGGAAACAAGCAAAACACTGCTTCTCACAGCACAGAAGGAGCCTGAGATACCAATGTGGGGTGAACCTGGCGAGGGTGAGGAGGAAGAAACCATGGCCAGGCCTGCAGGAACCTAGCTGGGAGTCAGCAAGCAGTGTTCAACCACAGACAGCTCAAAGGGCATTTATTTGAAAATAAATGACAATGGATTTACAGCTGGCTAAGTAAGCCTGAATTAAAGAAAAGTACCCTAACAAAAATGGTTATCAGACTGATATCTCCTCTAAGGAAGTCTCTGGTAGCCATGCCAGAGGGCTCTGAACTTGGCCTTGAGCTAATTACAGAGCTAATTAATATCAGACACAAAGTCAGTTAATGTGCAAGTAACAAAGCCAGGAGGTGCAGCTAACACCCGGATCGCTGAAACCAAGCTTCAACATAACTGACACGGCAAAGGGGCTAAAAAACAAAATGTGAGGATAAATGTAAAATCTCATCTAAAGAAAGATTTACTGCACAAGAACAGAATGGAAATCCCTGGACCCTCAGTGGTTCATGAAACAAAGCGATGGGTGGGGGTGCCAGTGGGTGGCTGTTTAGTTGACTACATGCTCATGAGGTACCAGCCAAAGCAACCCTGGGGATATTTTAGCAGACAGGTCCTATTCCGGCTGCCTTTGTTTGTTAATCATCACCCGAGGATACTTTTTTCATAGATTTATTTATTTTTTTTAGAGAGAGTGGAAGGGAGGGGGAGAGACAGAGAGAAAGAGACATCAATGTGAGAGAAACACATCGATTAGTAGCCTCCTGCACATGCCCTGAATGGGGCCAGGGATCAAGCCTGCAACTGAGATATATGCACTTGA